ATGTATATGTATAGATATGTATATATTTATATAGTTGTGCGTGTGTAGGAACTCCCCTATGCATATGCGTACATAAGTAATATATATATAATATATATATATATATATATATGTTATATATATAATGTATATGCACCTACGTATATATATATATATATATGCATGCACATAAACATATATATATATATATATATACATATGCACCTACGTATATATATATATATATGCATGCACATAAACATATATATATATATATATACATATATGTATATATATATATATATTGTGTGGTGTATGCGTGTACATTTTTAGAGACAGTTGGAGGCGAGATTAAAAGCGAAGGGATTGAGAGTGTGCTGAGGTGTACAGACAGCTAAATTTATATTTATATTTTTAAGTCTTTTTTATATCTATTGTTTCTTATTAAAACAATAATGAACAACTTAATAAATAATTATTAAAACCCCCTCGCCTCTCTATTCAGCTCCTGCTGTGCAGACAGAGAAAAACAAATAGTCAGAAAGGGTTTAGGGTTTAGGGTTTAGGGTTTAGGGCTTTTGTGAGAACAAAGGAGTGAAGCCCCTCTAAAGCGACAGCGCAGGCAGCAAACGGGTCTTTCTTCCCTCTACAGCAGCAGCAGCAGCAGCAGCAGCAAGAGCAGCAGCACACATACTCGAGTCTACATCTTCACAGCAGCAGCAGCAGGCCAGCTGTAGGGTTTATTATTATTATGTTACTACAAATAAAATATATGATTGTTATTTTAAAATAGACTATATTGCTTTGTACTTTGATAGTTTATATTATTTACACATTATGCTACTCTATATTTTAATAATTTATATTAATTATAAATTATATTCTTTGATATTTCAATAATTTTTATGTTTTATATATTATTTTATTTTCTTACAATAGGGTCTGTTTGTTTTTCTGTCCAAAGAATTAATGCTGCATTATTATTATTGTTATTTATTGATGTTCTTTTATCTACATACTATTAAATATTGATATTTTAATTGTATTTGAGGGAGTAATTAAAGAAAAAGTATTTGTGTAAGGCGCAGCTGTTCAGCAGCAGCAGCAGCAGAAAAAACGAGCTGCGCATACACCCCAATCTGCATAAGGTCTGCAATATTAAATAAAGTTATTCGAATAGTTAAACTTAAAATGCATTTTATTTTTAAATATTTTTATTGATATTCTTTTGATAAAAGGAAAGGCTTATCAACGCCTGCGAACAACAGGGTCGATGGTCACGTGCTGCTGCTGCTGCTGCTGCTGCAGCTGCTGCTGCTGCTGTTGCTGCTGCTGCTGCTGCTAGCAGTCTTCCGGCAAGATCAAAAGCGGTTTGGGTCTAGATGAATAAAAAGGGTTTTTATATGCATAAAATGTATTGAATTGAAGTTCTTTTGCTAGTTTAGCTGCAGAGACAGCTGCTGCTGCTGCTGCGGCTGCTGCTGCTGCAGTGGTCTGGCCTTCTACGGCACCGCTGCCGCCGCGCAGCAGCAGCAGCTGGAGCAGCAGCGGGAGCTGCAGCAGAGCAGCAGCAACGTGCCTGAGGCATGTGAAGGCTATAAAACAGTAAATTTGCTTTCTTTACCTATTTAATTTGCTATTCCTCCTGTTGCACAGTGAGAGCAGCAGCAGCAGCTGCAGCAACAGCAGCAGCAGCAGCTGACGACGGCCTCCCTGGGTCAGCTGGGAGATCGAGACTATCTTCACCGCCGTCTGTCTCTTTTTTTTTGTCTCTTCTTCACTGTACTTAAAGAAGATTGAGAGTTTTCTTTGTTTGTTGTAGGCGGGCCCTTTCTCGCTGCTGCTGCTGCTGCTGCTGCTGCTGCAGGTGTAGCTGCTGCGGCCCGCTGGCTGCAGATCGTGGGGGAGTTTCATTGGCTCTGCTGCGCTGCAGGTTGTTGCTGCTTAAAGATAATTGCTGCTGTATTTTCTTTTGTGTGTCTCTTATCTCTGTCTCTTCTGCTGCACTTCCTTCTCCCGCTGTAGCAGTACCCGCGGGGGTGTCCCTGCTGCTGCTGCTGCTGCTGCAGCTGCTGCAGCTGCTGCAGGCAAGCAGCACCTCAGCTGTTTATATAATAATTATATTTTATTATATCTTTTTCTTTTAGAGACTCAGCAGCACAAAGTATGTGGGGAGCGATCCTCTCTCAGCCGAGAGACTCTACTCTCCAGCGAAGGGGCTTCGAGGTTAGGCACACTAGCAGCAGCAGCAGCAGCAGCAGCAGCAGCAAGAGCAGCAGCAGTAGCAGCAGCAGCAAGAGCAGCAGCAGCAGCAGCAAATGTTGTTTGGATTGTTCTGTGTGTTCATGTGTCTCCTCCGCAGAGCACCGGCGGTATATGGGTCTCTCAAGCAGTCTCTTCGACAGATGATGATTTCCAGCAGCAAAAGCAGCAGCAGCAGCAGCAGCAGCAGCAGCGGAAGCAGTCCTTCTATACACCTCCACCCCCGTGTCCCCCCACATCTGTAGTCCCCCTTAAGACAAACTTCTATGAGCCCTGGGGCTTCTCGGGGCCCCCAGGGGGGCCCCCAGCTACTGCTGCAGCGAGGAAGCAGAAGCAATATAGAACTGTGTTTGATAGACTAACAGACTCTACATTCTACACCGTAAGAATCATCTCCCGACGGCTTAGGGTTTAGGGTTTAGGGTTTAGGAGTTAGTAGGGGTAGGGGGTTAGGGTTTAGGGTTTAGGGTTTAGGGTTTAGGGTTTAGGGTTTAGGGTTGAGGAGGTGCAGGGGGAGCCAACGGCTTGGTGTGCTTGTTAGTTTTAGGTTTTAGGGTTTGAGGGTGTGAGGGTTTAGGGTTTAGGGTTTAGGGTTTATTCAACTATAGATATATTTCAATGAAGCTGTCTCTGATCTTCTGTCTCCTTTTCTTTGTTTGTCTCCCTACATTGTTCATCGGCCTATTTATGTTTATCTGTCTCCTTTTATATTTATTTGCTTTCTTTGTCTCTGTCTCTCTGTCTCTCTTTTGTATTTCTTTGTTCTCTCTGTCTCTTTGTCTGTCTCTGCTAACCCTCTCTGCTTTTAATCTCTCTCTGTCTCTCTGTCTCTTTATCTCTTTCTTTTTGTCTCTCCGTCTGTCTCTCTTTATATTTATTTTTTTGTCTTTCTTTTTCTGTATGCCCATCTCTGCTATTCTTCTCTGTCTTAGATCTCTCTGTCTCTCTGTCTCTGTCTCTCTCTGTCTCCGTCTCTCTGTCTCTCTCTCTGTCTGTCTCTCTCTGTCTGTCTCTGTCTCACTGTCTCTGTCTCTGTCTCTCTGTCTCTCTCTGTCTCTGTCTCTCTGCCTATGGACTGCATCTTATCTATTTTAACTGTCTCTCTGTCTCTCTCTCTCTCTCTGGCTACCTCTCATATCTTTTTATTTCTTTTTCTTTAATTTAATTTAAACTGTCTCCTTTTGTTTGTATATTAACAACATATATCTCTTTAATTTAATTTAATTTAACCTGTCTCCTTTTGTTTGTTTAGGGTGCTCATCGAGAGCGCTTTGATGAGTTAGGCAATGGGCGAGGGTTAGCCGGACGCGAATATTTGTATGCACACGATGGGATGACAGAGAGCCCCTCAAGAACGCATGAGGTTTATTCTTCTGTTGTTAGGAGACGTCAGTTCGCTGCTGCTACTGCTGCTCCTGATGCTGCTGCTGCTCCTGATGCTGCTGCTTCTGCTGCTTCTCCTGATGCTGCTGATGTGCGCTGTTGCTCGTTCGTCCTGTTGATGCTGCTGCTGCTGCTTTGTGCTGCTGCTGCTGCTGCTTGGTGCTGCGTGTTGCTGTCTCGTTGCTACACCGCACACGTGCCCACTACCTGTCTCCTTCTTCATGTCTCTGTCTCTTAAAGGGTTTTTATGTTTAATACATCGTTCACAGAAAAACAGAGACAGAACAGACAAAAGATAATCTGTCTCCTTCTTATTACCCTTCAGCTCTCCGTGTGCAGCCGCTGTCTCTTCTTCTTTTTCTTTGTTCTTCATATATGTCTCCTTGCCTCTCTATCTATTCAAACCCTAAACCCTAAACCCTATGCTGTGTAGCTCATCTGGTGTCTCCTGACCCCTCTTTTTGCTGTGTTTGCGTCTGTTTCTTTCTCTTTCTTTCTTATATGTTAAGCCCTATGCGTATAAACCCTAAACCCTAAACCCTAAACTGTTGTTTGTGATTTATTATGACAGCTCGCAGGGCTCTAGTTACCCCAGGTACTTTAGGGGTGCAGAGGTTTGGCCTTCAGACATCACCGCCTCGTCTCCTTTGGCTATTTCGCAACGGAGACAAACATCATGACGGGTCTCCTTTCTTTCTTAAGACGCACATCAAAACGCTCGAAGCTCTTTATCAAGAGCTTACAAAAGTAAACTAATAAACAAACACATACTCATCCTGCTGCTGCTAGTGCTGCTGCTGCTCCTCCTGCTGCTGCTGCTGCTGCAGGAGTCGCAGAAATAGCAGCAAAAATAGAGCAGCAGCAGCAACAACAGAAGAAAAAGAAGATAAATAAAACAAAAAAACAGACCAGTAGCAAGAATAGCTGCACAAATACAGCTTGAATGCCTCTGCATGCATTGTTGTTGTTAATTATCTATCTGTCTCCTTCTTGTGTCTCCTTTCTCGTTATTACCCTCACGAAGTTCTGTTTATATATCTTTCTTTGCTTCACGACGGACAACTAGAGAGCTGCTAATGCTGCTGCTCCTAATGCTGCTGCTGCTGCTAATAATCCCGCTTCTGCTGCTGCTGCTGCTGCTGCTGCTGCTGCTGCTGCTGCTGCTGCTGCAGGTGATAACGCCAATAGCCGGCCCTGTGCGTCGTCTGTACGATCAAAATTTGCGTTTGGTTGTCGACTTAGCGGATATCGTCGATGGGGCGAAGTATCTCTGCACCTCAGGTGAGGCTCTATATGAAGCTTTATCTATCAGTTGTCTCCTTCTTCTGTCTCCTTTCTCTATCAGATGTCTCCTTCTTCTGTCTCTCTGTCTCTTTCTCTCTCTGTCTCTTTCTCTATCTGTCTCTCTATCTGTCTATCTATCTATCGCTCTCTCTGTGTCTCTGCCTGCCTGTCTGTATCTATCTATCTATCTACCCACGCATCTCTCCCCCTTCTCCCGATCACCAGCTAGCGTAGCTAGCTAGTTAGCTAGCTAGCTAGCTAGCTGCCTGGTAGGTGGCTGTACAAGTTGCTAGCTGTCTCTATTTCCTGCTGCTGCTGATGCTGCTGCTGCTTTGCTGCAGGCGAGCCGCCTGCATGCGCTGAGCGCCTGCAGAAGTTTTTGAGTGAGTGGGTCATTCAAAAGCCCCAGACCCGCGTGTGGAGCGAATTCTTTGTTGTCTAGCTCCCACACACACAGTAGCTAGCTAGCTAGCTAGCTAGCTAGCTACCTAGCTAGCTAGCTGGGTGGGTAGTTATCTGGCTCGGTGGCCAGCTAGCTGGGTAGCTAGCTGGCTGGATGGCTATCTGGTTGGGTAGCTAGCTAGCTGGGCGGCTAGCTAGCTGTGTAGCTAGCTAGCTGGGCGGCTAGCTAGTTGTGTAGCTAGCTAGCTGGGCGGCTAGATAGCTAGCTGGGTAGGAAAACGGCTAGCCAGCTCACCAGCTAGGTTTGATAGATAGATAGCCAGCTGGCTGGCTAGCTATCTAGTTGTCGAATAATCTTAAGTTTGCTAAGCAGCTAGCCAGCTAGCTAGCTAGCTAGCTAGCTTGCCGGTTAGTTAGAGCTGTAATCTTTAGCTGCTTTGTACAAGACTCCCCGTGCCCTTTAGGGCTTCCAAGTGCTTCATTATCTGCTGCAGCAGACAGCAGCAGTGCAGCAAATAATATAAAAATAATTTGCATTGCTGCGCCGCTCTGTCGCTGTCTTAAACTCTTTTTTACGATGTACAGCCTCGGCTGTATGTACAGAGAGCCATGTATAAACATTGATATATATATATATATATCTGTATGTATATATATATATATACATATATTTTATATGTATATATATATATGTATATGAATAATATATATACATATATTCATATGTATATCCGTAGGGCTGCATGTGTTGAGGGATATATATATAAATATGTATATATATAGCGTTATAAATAAATAAATAAATAAAGATATATATATATATATATATACAGAGAGAGAGAGAGAGAGAGAGAGAGAGAGAGAGAGAGAAAGAGAGAGAGAGAGAAAGAGAGAGACAGACAGAGACAGAGAGACAGAGAGACAGAGAGAGAGGCCTATGTGCTTAGTAAGAAGTGCATGCAGGTCGCAGTGGATGGAGAGGGCCTCCACTCTTGCAGCTCCACGGGGGCCCCCTAGGACAATCAGGGGCCCCTGGGGGCCCCTGATAGTATTTTAGAGACAGCTGGTGCTGCTTCATCGAAGCAAGCTTAGGCAGTGAGGGGCCCTTATAACAAACAGAGAGACAGTCGGGGGGCCCCCTATCCCTTCAGCTACACTCAGGGCCCCATTGCATGAACATGCGAATTTTCTGTCTCCTTTAGGTATTAATATATATCTCTGCTCACAAAGCCATTTAAAGCTTGCTGCTGCTTCTTCTTTTCTTCATATGTGCATGGATGCATGCGTGCATGATAGCAGCAGCAGCAAAGAGAGGCTAGAAGGGGTCCCACCAGTCGAATGTGCCGTGTCAGTGTACGTACACTGCATGTGGGGTGCTGCAGTCAACAGGCAAGAGGTTGGCTGGGGGGCCCCCGCCTCAATGGGGGGCCCCCCAGGGTCGGGGGCCCCCGACGCTGGGGGCCCCTGAGGATAAAGGGGGCCCCAGGTTATCTCTTTTTAAACGAAGATTTCCTTAGAACTGTCGTCAACAAATGAACAATGGCTGCATTGGGGGGCCCCCCACCTACGAACGCCCCCTCTAGGGGGCCCCTCTAGGGGGCCCCTCTAGGGGGCCCCTACTGCAAGCGAAAGGCAACACTGAAGGGCTACATAGACCCATGGTATCTGTGTGTGTGCTTCTAAGGAAATGAGTAGTAAGAACGGCTGCAGCAGCTGCTGCAGCAGCAAAATTCAGGTGTATAGGCACATAAACAACTAAATAGACAGCCACCGTCACAGCAGCTACAGCATCAAAGGCTTCTTCTCTAGCTATGTCAACTCTTTAAAGCTACAGAAGAAAGAACAGGGGCCCCCACCGTCACTCAACCCCGAAGCGAGGGGGCCCCTCTTGGGGGGCCCCCCACGGGGGCCCCTGTTCTTGTCTATGACCAGGGTACAGAGAGGCGATGATACGAGATGCAGCAAGCTAAGAAGAATGACATTTTAAGAGGGTTTTTATTGATTAAAATGCGTAAAAAATGTAAATAAAAAACAAATATAAATGGAGATAAGCAGAGGAAGCAGAGAGAGGGCCCTGGGAAGCCCTTATGCTGCTGCTGCTGCTGCTGCAGGAGGCGCAGCAACAAGAGAAGCAGCAGCAGCACCTGCTGCTGCACGGGTTGGGGGCTGCGCAGCGTCTTCTCCATTAGC